CATCTCTCTCTCTCTCTCTCTCTCTCTCTCTCTCTCTCTCTCTCTCCCTCTCCTTCGTTCGCCTATGGATTTCCACTTTTCTGAGCCATCTGCTAGATGCGACTTTGGTCATCGATTTTTTTAACATTTTTCAAAAATTATTCTTTCGAACATTCTTGTCCAGCTTTCTCATCGAATTTTTTCGAATTCTAGGTAAAATCGTCGTTAAGTAAATTAAATAGTATTCGATGATCGAACAATTATTTTCCAAGAAAGGTGAGAAAGGAACAGACGAAAAAATGTATACAATCCTCGAACTGTGCCAAGTGCCATAAAATAAGTGCCATAAATATACGCGATCTGTGAGATCTCTTGATTTCAAAGGAATTTTTATCGTTACGAAACATGCTGCCAAGAACAAAGAGCGATCATCTATTTATAATATTCCTTCCTTCTTCTTCTTCTTCTTCTTCTATATCTTCTTCTATAATATAAATGCGTTATTTTATTTCGCAATAATTTCAATATCTTTCTCCGTTTTTATCTCCAAGAATGAAATGGCCTTACCAACAAGCTATTGTTATTTATTACTATCGATGTTATCAACAATTTAATCAACTCGAAGAACAAAAGTGTGAAACTTCATCGAAATATTGTTATAGAAATGTTACAAGACAAGCATGTATAATCGGATGATTCATTACAATGAACGCATAATTGCACAATTAAATCAAACTTTCACACTTTTAAAATATAACAAGGCGGCAAAAGCAAGTTTCTTCGAACAGAATCTCGTAGGAATCGAACGATCGAAAATATTCAAAGGCAAGTACTCGTAAGATTTTTACCATTAAGCAAGGAAGGAAATATTCGAAATTAATTGGTGATTAATTAATAGAAACTATAGAGGAGGAACGTCAGAGGAACAAAGAAGGGGATGGTTTCGAAAGAGAGAGAGAGAGAGGAAGCAGTGCAGGTGAATGAAACGAGAGTAATGCAACCAATTAGTATGAATTAGCATCAAGCCGCCGGAAACGAGGGCGGGATGAAAAGAGATGAAGGGGGCAAGTTGTATACTCTCATCCCTTCGCTTTCGTCGGTAAAATAATTACCGAGCGTCTCTTCGCCCTTGCCACCACCTACACACTACCACCACACTACCATCCATCCATGTTCCGTGCTTCCTCCCCTCCGTGATCACGCTACTCTTTCCCCAGTTAAATGATTTCCATGAACTTTCTGTCGGTGGTACGACAACGTAGTAAGTCTATCGTCGCTACTCGAGAAGCTAAAGTAATCCTGACGAACGGTTTCGAGCAACGAACATTCCAGACACGAAGAGCGAAGGAACGTAGGCCAGGGAACCTCTTCAAGTTTCTCTGAAACGGCTAATTTGTTTCCATCCCCGAGGAACAATGTAACGGGTAATCCGACTGGGCGAGTAATCGCGAAGAAATGATAAGTAATGAGCAAATTTGTTTCGGCTGAGTTGTACATTTGCTCGCGATTGATCGCCCCCATTTATCAATTCCCGACACGCCTCTTCCCTTGAATGATTCCCTTCGCCTCGAAGAAAAACGAACGTCGCAGTTTATGAAGCGTGTCGATCTAATCTAATACTCGTCAAACGATATCCCGAAGAGGAACATTGAATTTCCAAGCGGTTTGGTCGCAACTGTTAACGCAATTACGAACGGATCGCGACTGTTTATCAGCATGGACGTGAGAAATTGAGAAAAGCAGGTGCAAAGGGAACGCTCTGCTCTCAACCGGAATCTTGGTGAAGCGAGGTAATTTGTTTCCTTGGAATATAAGGGGCGATGTACCGCTAATCCATTCTGCAAAATTATTGAGTTTAATAAATATGACTCGCTTTGTTTCTCGATTCTACGAAGAAAATCGTTTCGACGATTCCTCGAGAAATGTGAGACAACGTTTATCGCGCTTTCCAATTCAACTGATTCCAGCGTAAAGAATTTAAAAAACGACTAAGATTTTAAGCTTAGTAGATAGTCTTATCTACGTTGTATATATATGTAAAAATAATTTGAAGACAAAATTTTTCGTTTGCTTCTTCTTTATTAAAAGTTTCGATATGTTGTGACAAAACGTCTTTCTCGCATAACATAAATAAAGTGATAAAATTATTCAATTCGATGATTCTCCGTTTCGTTTATAATCAGATATACACGCGTCACATTTATACAATATCGCAGATTGTACATCGACGGATGAGACCAACGGCGGATGGATATTTTAACAAAAATATTGCGGAGTAATTTGGAACGACGCGGGGTGCTGATTGAACACACCTATTTGTTCACGTACCTTCGACTGGTTATTAACCGCAACCCACTGATATGCTATCGTTGCAAATTAAACTGATCGGCTCTGCTATCTCGAAAAACCGTTATTAAACCATCGAGTCACGATAGTTTGCGTAAAGCCAATTATGAACTCATCGCAATCGTTTTCATTCCTCTCCCCTCGCGAATAACGAGAACGTTTTAAACAAGTGCAAAACTGATCCCGATATCTTTTTTCTCCCCCCTCCCCACTATTTCGCATGTAATTTCAACCGAATCGTAATCACATCCGAAACACGATGCCCCATTCAACGTGAATTGTACGTGAGTTAATCGCATCACAAAACGATTCAACTCGCCAGACGATTCGAAAAATCTTATAGATACGATGGAATAATAATAATAATAATAATAATAAGAGGACTCGTTTACGACGAGGTCGTAAAGCATGAGGAATGTTACCTCGTAAATATCAGTCACCGGCTCGTGAATTTATGGACTGGAGGAGGACTGTGATCCACTGATAAGAATCGGCAAACGTCCAGTCGGCGAATGCCACGGCTTCTCCAATGTGGAAACGCGATATGATAAGGCAAGTCGAGAAGGTAGAGTCCAATTAGACGAGATTCGAACAATTTTATTAGGTGGGCAATGTTTGATTCGTTTTTTTTTTCTTGTATTTTCATAAAAAAAAAAATCATTTCGGAAGAATAAAGTTGATAAGCTTATTTTCTATCACTGTGTTTCTTCCCGTTGCATTCGATATAAATACCTTGTCGATCTCGAGATGCAGGATTATTACTGCAATTAAGAAATTATATCGAAAAATAAGTAGTAAAAAAAAAAAATATCAGGACGAGTATATGTGATACGTTAAAAACATATTGTACCTGTATTGTTTATTATCTTCGTGCGCAAAATTATAAAACCATCTTAGGTTTTTTTCAATACTCGTATTCAAGCTTCCGCGCTTTTTAGATTTCGACGAACTTGCTTCAGATTTATCTGCGTTTTTAATCTGTGATGTTATCTTCGGTTCTACAGCAGGAGTAGTTAAACCAACGTTTCGTGAAATTACAATGTATTTCCAAAACTCGTTGTCCAACGAAGGTTTTCTAAGTTTTTTATAGATAGGAGGTTTCTCCAGCTTATTCGAGAAATTCCATGGAATCTTTTCGAAGACTTGGAAGACGTCGTTTGTTTGACGATTCGAAGGACTTTGATTAAAACTTTCGCTCGAGTTAGTAGAGATTTTATTCGAATAAACGCGACTTGGCTCGCTCGTAGTTTTCACATCGAAAATCTCCACACTATTTTTAATTCCCTCTAAATTGAACTTTGTGACATAATCGTACGATATAGGAAAATCACTTCTTTTTCTCGAATCACCTTGTTCCTCCGTACCATCATCAGATTTCATCGTGCTAATTTTAGCGGCGAAAACTGATCTCGTCCCGTTTCCTTCTCCCTTCATATCTCTCGCTATTGACTTTTGATTTGAATTAGAAATCGATATTCCCGAATTGTCGGTAACTGCAGGAACTGTAGAAATTAGAAATTGGATTGTTAAATCGGTTTCTTATTGATCGTTAAATATTCTGTTAAAAAATTCTATCGTTGAAAAATTAATATTCTTACCGGTAAAAGTGTCATCTTTATTTTTATTTAATCCCTCTTTTATATAAATATTTGTACCACCTTGACCTTTCGTAAAATTATTCGCGTATTCGATTGCGACGGATTCATTCGTTTTCGATATTTCTGTGTAATTTTTTTTCTCGGTATTTATATCTGAAAAACCGGTAATATTTACCATCTTTTTTTCCTCGTATCGCTCGGTTGTCGAGCGAAATACTATCCGATTATCAATAGGTAAAAATCCGACGGTTGTCGAAGAATTATTACTACGCGTCGTATTAAAATTGTCATTTTTATTTTCTCTCGTTGCATCGGAACCCGTGGTTCGTTCGGTTTTAATTGTGCCAATGGAATTTTTATTGTCAAAAAAAGTATTTGCAGTAAAATTTTTATTCGTTTCTCCAAAATCGATTGTCGAGTTGTTGAACCTCTTCGTTTCTTTCCTCGTATCGCTGTTATTTACGCTTTCGAATTACAAAAGACGCGATTAGGCTATCGAAATATACGGATTTGGTAAAGTAGATAAAAAGAATAATAATAATAATAATAATAATAAACGAAGTAAAAAAAAAAAAAAGGAAACTTTAAAATTATACCAACCTGCTCAAATTTCCAGATTGAATAATATCGAAACGTTCTTCTATTTGGAAATAAGCGATCACTAAGATTCTGAAAAGACGATCTAGCTTCTTCGAGAGAATTGAATCCTTTGGTTGCGCTCTCTGCAGAAGCAGTAATCTTGCCCAGTCCGATTTCAAAGCACCAAAGGGCAAAGCTGTGACAGGACATTTGAAACCGCCGATCATCATATCGATCGTCGCCACATTCTCAATATTCCGAGACAAGTAATCCTCGAGTTCACCCACATCGAATTCCAAACAATTGTCTCGCGGTGCATACGAACTTGCTTCTGCGAGGGAATGGCCTTTTTCAATTTTGCTTTACATCGATCGATTACTTATTATTTACAAGTATTTACTTACGTTATATATAAGTACGTGTATATTAAAAAAAAAATATATATATATATATACTTACTGGAAAAATTAACAAGATAGACGGTTAACAAATAAAGAAGCACACGTAAAACTTCCTCTCGCAACATGATTGCTGCGCCAACTGAGGCCACGTAGTATAGTATTCTATTTCGTTATAATCGGCATATTTTCATACGTAAATACGGGAATTTGTTTCGAAACTTCGAAGGGGAGCTCGTACATTCAAGATTTCAAGAATAAAAATCGAGCTTAATTCCTATTTTATTTTCGATCGACTTATTTGTCTAATGCTCACATACGTATCCTTTCTTCTTTTTTTTTTTTTTTTTATTATATAAAAATTATAATTACATGTATCTGTACACATACTCCGTACACATATAGCGGTCGCAGAAGCAACGTTTCTTCGCAACAGGTACAATTTACGACTGGTCTGGTGAGTTCCGACGAACGAACGAGAAAAGAAAGACATTTCGAAGAACCACTTTATATTGTACTTTCGAAGAAGAAACAAATCGTAAACACTGCACGCTATGATATATTTGAAACATTTCAAATCCACGATCCATTTGTCATCTTTGTTGGCGCACGCACGCGTTTCGCTAGAAAAGCGGAAGCGTTTTCAAATTGTGCAATCGTATATACCGTGCCAAAAAAAAAAAAAAAAAAAAAATAACAGGATGTGGTTGAATTTATCGATGTAAATTTTCACGATGCGAGTAAACTATGCATGTACACGTAATATTCTTCTTCTTCTTCTTCTTGAAAAATCTTCTTCCTATCACGGGGAGAAAGATCATAAAGAAAAAGTGACGTTAGAATTATATTTCTTTCGCACTGGATACATACATCCATAGTATGCGGAACAAATGCGTAAAATTTCGAGTTACAGAATACAAGAGTTACACCATAATGGTGTTTCCTGCCTTTTATTATCATCATCATCGTCGTTATCATCAATTAATACTAATGTTAATATCCTTTATCATCGTTATTATCATCCTCGTTATTATTACTATCGTAATTATTATTATTATTATAATGTTTTGCTCCACAAATATACACGCGCGCTTATTTATTTATTTATATTGTATCTAAATTTGTATCGTTTGTTTATTTGTTGGTTGTTGGTTAAAACCCTGAGAACTATGATTCTATCGCCACGGCGAATCGATGAACATGTTATAAAGAAAAATGCTTGTAAAATCCAACATCCAACGTTAAGTCTAATTTCGTAAAAATATTTTCTGGCGGCTTTGTTCTTGATCGTGGCACGCATACCAGAGAATGAATTAAATCGTTGATTAAGATTAATTTGATGGCGAAGGATTACATCCTACGTGCTATTTTTGATCATCATTGCATTTATGCGTGTGTTAAAATTTTGAAAATTAAAAGATTATAACGTTATATGCCGAGATTATTTTTAGGCCTATTTGAAACTTCATCCGAAACTTTCACCCAAAAACTTCGCAAAGAAAATTATATTTCTCTCTCTCTCTCTCTC